TGTTATGTACCCTCATTTTGATTGGACTATTTTTACATGAATTATGGGACCTTGACTCTTTTGGGCTTTCCTACTACAATGATACCTATTAATTCAAACACATGCCTCTGAGACTATTTTAAAGACAGCCTTCATAATTTATGTTTGCCATCATGTGTAGTTGACCATATTATACTATTATTTTGAGTTGACCATTTTTTGGGGAGTTATGTGACTTTGACCATATTGGACTATTTAACCACAATGACACGAGATTTGGGACTTTTTTTTTTTAATATCCTACAACAATGACACTTTTTGAACCCAAATCCTGTAAGACCCTTGACAGAAAGCTCTCACACTTGGTAGGATTGTTTGCTATCATGTGTAATTGATCATATTTTTCCAGCATTATGATTCCATTTTATTCGAGAAATGAGACTTGTTTTTCAACTGTTGTACCACAATGAGACCATGTTCTACCAATTGAATAACAAGTATTAATTTACTAAAGCTGGAAGTACACTTTATGTTACTGTAAATTCAGAAATTATTGTGTGCATTTATTATTGCGATTTTCGAATAAAGGCCAAAAATGCGAGATTAATTATTTCGATTTCAGGAAATTCTGCATAAAGTTATATGTATCCAATATCACAATGTGAGTTCTTATTATTGCGATACTCACCGAGTCGCATTATTCGCAATAATAAAAACCTCACAATAATTTCTGAATTTACAGTACCTTTTTTTCCAATTCTACAACTCTGTATTGTACACACAATGGTGGACATTTGCCTATTGCATAGCAATCTTGTTTTTGTTGTTGCTGCTGGTCTAAAAAGATACCAAAGGGATATTCAAACTCACAAGTCAAAAACAAACTCACAATGCCATGGCAAAAAATGAAAAACGACCAAATGGCAAACAACAGTACACAAAACACAACATAGAAAACTAAAGACTGAGCAACATGAACCCCACCAAATACCTGGGGTGATCTCAGCTGTTCAAGAAGGGTAATCAGATCCTGCTCCATATGCTACACCCATTGTGTTACTCCTATAAAATAAGTTGATAAGTTTTATTTTATGATATTTATTGACTCTTATCTTACCCTAAGACATCATTAAAATAATAAACCATTGGTAAAGTAAATGATCTAACCCTAAAACTTGACCGTCTGTGAAAATTTTAAATAAGAACTCGTCTTTCATGAAAAAGGATAGATGAGACTGTACTGGTTTGAACAACACAGACATTGAAAAATTAAAAAGCACAATGATCAACACTTCAAACTAAAGCAAGAGCAACATGAACCCCTTTTAAACAAAACTAGGGGTGATCTCATGTAATCCGGAAGGGTAAATAGATCCTGCTTCACATGTGGCATTAGTTCTTTTCTGTTTCTATCCTTCCAAAACCAGATACCAGATCCATTTTTATTTGTTATGACTTCTGACAAAGAATATCCATGCATCTGGTTAAAATTCTTTCACTAAACAAAGTATTTGAACTTTACTGTGCATTATACATAATTTACTGGAAATTGACTGGATTTGCTTGAAACAAGTAAACATTACTGTTTTTGTGGCAGCAAAGATAACAGTGGCTAAAAAACATTGATCATTCTCAAGCACCTGTTTTTACTTACACAAATAAACAAAGTGAACAAGACAAAGTTAAAAGAAGCTCAAGTGAAATCAGAATGATGGATAGAATTCAAGATGGCTGTCAGAATAAGATTTTATAGAAAACATATGTATATGTATTTTGACATTTTCATGAAATTTGGATATGGAATTGAAAATGGTCTACATGTTTGACTACAATAGTCTTTTTTAAGATTTGAATTTGCATGAGTGAATTAAGAACATGCACAAAACTATTGTTGGAAATCTACAGATGAAAGAAGTCAAGTATCTTGCCATGTATCCATGTCAGGTGTCTTAACTTAAAGGTTCACAAAAATTAACTTGATTTTCAAATGCATGCTGCTGTTCCAACCTACACAGAATCTTCATCAATTTACTCATTTATTTATGTGTCAAACAAGGTTAATAGGAAATACCAAAATTGTCATAAAATCTTTCTGAGCCTCCACAGGAAGCTTTTGGCATTGTAACTTTGGTAATATAAATGGAGATTTGAAGTAGAATCAGCAGTTTTAAGCTAACAAGACTTTATTATCTTACTGTAGACAATTATCGACATTTCTCCAGTCTCAGACAGACAGCACAAACAGAAAAAATTGTAATCACAAATTTAAAGAAAATCAATTTTCTACTTAATGAAATTTTGTTGAATAAAAAGAAATTTGATGGTAAAAAATTATCCAAAGAGAGCATGCTGTACTGTTATCATTTGGGATCAGAATTTCTAGCTGTTAATGATATAACCACTGTGTATAAAAACACACTGATCAATATAACCAACAGGTTTCCATGGTAACTTGATTGTTTGATTGAGTGAGGGTCTGTAGAGATATCTGATCCATAATTAGAAATGTCTGCTTTTTTCCTATAGGGTTTCCCAATCAAGAAGGGAATCCACACTGATGTGGTCATGATAAATCTTTATCCAATAAAATGACGTAATATTTCTTCTCTTGTGGTTTTGGCATTTTTGCCTAAGGATGAAAACTGAATGATGTAGCAATGTTTTATGTGCATTTTTCCAGTGCAGAAAGATAGAGAAAATGAGGTGTTTGATCATATTCAGTTAAATTGAAATGTAAAGATTGTCTTGTTGAAAACTGGTTTTCTTTGATCTCCATCATATGACTAGTGATTCTAGTAGAATACTTAGTTTAGTTACAGAAAAGAAACAGATGTACATGAGTTTTATACTCCTTCTCACTAAATAAATTAAATAATTTTCTTCCTGACATAGTAGCTAGTAAATGGAAAAGACTCAAACTTGCTATGTTAAAATGCATTAAATATTGGCAAACTTAGTTTGGCTATTACAGTCCTTATATATCTTCAGAAATTCATTTTCTTTTGACTTAAGAAAATGTCCAAGATTTTCATTGTCAAAACTGCAGATGTAATCTATTTTTTCATTCATGACGAATAAGGCGAATAAGGCGTTACCATTATTAGAATACCTTCATATTACAATATAGATCAATCACCTCTCTCTGCTAAGGTATACCAGTAATAATCTTAATGCTTATTCTAAGCTTCCAAAATCAAGCACAGAAAAAAAAACCCAGAAAAATCAACACTAAGATACAAAAATCAACAAATAGCTATTAACCTGTCATGTTTTGACAGTTTCAAAGAATAATCAGAGATAATACCATGTTTTATGGAATCAAATTTCCCACCTTTTTGATAATCATTCACACTTTCATATCTGTTTAATATGGCACAACCAAGATGTTGTCTTTACCAACAATGAACCTTAGTTAGGGAACTTTTCTGATATTAATTCAAGTATTTTATTGATGTTCCTTACCTAAGATAAAACTTTATTTATGTTGCCATTACTTTGTGAAGAAACATAACAAATCTTTTTAATATAATTAATTTTTTTTTTTATTTAGTCTACAATTTATTTTTGGCAGTCTGTTTTCTTTTCTTCATTCTGGAATTATCCTACCGTGCCTACAGGTTAAGGAAAAATTTATTGTCTTAAAAAAACTTTATAAGGGAGATAACTGTTGATTACTAATAAAAATAAAAGCCAGCATAATCTTTCCTCCCCAGTCAAATAGATTATTATTGATAAGGCTGATGAATAGCACATGCTTGATAAATCTCTTAATATTAATGAACAGTCAAATTTAACAGACCAACAACTTCTTGTAGTGTGTGTGTCCAAATACTCATTTATAGATTTTGTAGAAATTTGTACCTATGCCATTAAAGGGGAAACCAATTTAGTGTTTCTATCATCTGTATCTATCTGTCTGTCTGTCTACTTCAGTTAAGTTCTGTTTAGGTTTATTCTTCTGACACATGTTGTAGTATACATGTATCAAAGAATTTTCACAACTACAATACATTATGACCCATTTTCCAAATGAATCTACATTTAATGCTCCTGTGTCTTTGGTTAAGTCCTATATCTACTTATGGCCATTCTTTAGAAACTCTATTGGTTTAAGATACAAGTAATATTTCTCTTAAAACAGTACTACCGATTTTAATGTTATCCTTGTGTTTTATGCTTTTGTGACTTTGGTGAGATTTTTGTTGATAACCCATTTCATGTATCAGTTTAAATGGTCTTTTTCAACACCCTTTTTGAACATTTAAGGGACTATGACCCTTTTATGCTCAATAAGATAAAACAAAATAAAATAACAATGTGAAGGTTCAGTCAAAATCCATATCTATCTGACACAATTTGTAGTTGGTCATTCTGTAGTTGGTCATTCTGTAGTTGGTCATTCTGTAGTTGATCATTCTGTAGTGTATCATGTCCCTTTCATTCTGTCCTATAGACTTTCAAAATTCAGCAATTTTAGTTTGATGTGCTTGGTGATTTTTATCTTGCTTTCAGTGTGTAATAGTGTGATGAATTGTTTCAGAGAGAGTTTGTGTTTGTTTGTTTTCCACAAAACAGAAATTTCAGTAGCAATAACATATCTTTTTCAAAGAAAATTTGATAAATTTGTGAGATTGCCCATTTATGTACCTGTAACTTAACCTACAATTTGGGGTACTATAGACCTTTAACACAATTAGTTTCATCATATTGTAGTTGTTTGCATACCCACAAAGTTATTATGCTGATTTTGTTCTGTAATTATATTATTGAGACATACAGATAGGAATTGCCCTGGATCATGTCCATTTAGTTTCGACAGAAGGATAAAACACTTTGACTGAAGTAAATTATTTCTAATTGGCAATGTAAAGGATTTTTGTGATAATGACACAATTGTTTGTAGTTTCAGCAATTTGTAGACCAGATGTTCTAATTGACAATCACAATAATTATAGTAAAAAAAGTAATGAAAACAAAAGCTGGGAACTATAAATTGCTTTAAATTTCTTCTATACTTTCAGTGCTATGAGAATACTCCTTACAAAGATACCCAGACACTGGATCGTTGATGAAAAGAAGGACGATGGATACACAGCATTACATCTAGCAGCTCTAAACAACCATGTTGAAGTCGCTGAACTTCTTGTTCATCAGGTATAATTAACAATAGCATTTCTTATCAGCTTTGTTAAACTTACACATGTTTTATGTATTATATCTTAACCTATTGTTTTACATGATATGTCATAAGGTAGTGATTTAGGAAATCTTAGGAAGCACTACTTTATAATATATTATATAAAACATTTTTCATATTGGTATGTTCCTGTTTCTGCCTGACTCATATTTTAGTTCACTTTTTTGTCTATCCCATATCCTATCAACATTGTATAGACAACTACACATTAATCTCAGCAGAAAATTATTTGAATATCTTGTATGCTGGTTTAGAATGATATAAGGACGATATCTTCATTCAATTCTTATCTTGCACAATTCCCACAAGGTTCTCAAAGTCTAACTGATTGACAGTATTGCTGTACATGCAATAATTTATTTTAAATATTTCACAAAATGCCATCTTCTTTATTGTGTTATTAAATTGAAGCCTTTATGGTTACAACCTATATTATCAATTTGAAAAAAATTGTGAAATTTATCTTTAGATTTACTTCCCTTTGATTATTTTTTTTTTTAGTCAAGGGGAAGCAACTCTAACATACCTAATGAAGAAAACAAGGTACGAAATAATTATAGATGGTTTACAAATGATCTAGTGACAAAGATTTCATACATATTCAGGAAGGCATAGTTGCATTAACATAGAAAGACTGCTCTATAAACAGAATTGAATACAAGCATTTATTTCTGTGAATCATTAATAAAGGTCAATAGCACCAGACTAGTTAATGAGAGTTGTATACCGGGTACATGTTTTAAAGAATATTATGAAGAAAAACTGAAATATTGCCATGTTTGACCTGTCATATTTTTCACATAAGTAAAGATATCACATTAATTTATGATTACAGTTCTCATAAGTAGAAAATCAATTTTGTTTAAATAAGCATTGAGAAACACCAGTAACTGGATCTGCTAAAGTGATTTGTGACTTGCAATGGTATTAACTAGTTAAATAGCTGACCAACATTTCCATTTATTAAGATACACTGTTATTTTATAGGTAGCTAGTGCTTCTGTAGTGAGTATTCCATTATCAGAATATATTCCTCTTGTTTCAGGGTAAAGCAAACATGGATATACAGAATGTTAATCTACAAACAGCTTTACATTTGGCTGTAGAAAGACAGCACACACAGATTGTAAGGGTAGGTAATCCATCCATGAAAATCACATGACATCTGTCTCACTTGTTAGATAATTTTTGCTGTTCTCTTTAGATTATTTTGGTTTTGATGCTTCAAATAATTTTATGTTCAGTAAAATTTCATCTGCAGTAATAACCCTTGCATTTTGAACCTCAATTAAAAAGTCACCCCTCTTATTAAGGTCAGTATTCCTTGGTCCCCAGGGTGATCTTTATATACAGGTTGGACTGTATTTTGCTTACCAAGTTGTTGGTATGAAGACACTTGATGAAGGTTATTCCAAAAACACATGTTGTTCACATCTGAAATCTGAAAAATTTAAGGTTATTAACTAACAATTATGTCTCAGTAATTTATGATTATAATAAGTGTTAGTAGAATATATAAAAGAGAAAAGGAATATGTACTGGATGAATAAATTAGTTTTCATTAAGATTTTGCCCCAGAGGGAATCCTTAGGTATAGACATTAAATTGGATCCAGCTTCTCTGATGAAGGGTTACAACTCCTCACTAGGGACATCCAGTTTTTTAAGCCATTTTTTTTCTCCCATCATTCTCTTATACATAGGCAGTGGAAATATCCCACCATCCATCCCAGTGACTATCCCACCATCCATCACAGTGGACTCTCTTTAAAAAATGTACTTATTTGATGTATTGTATAATTTGTTTTCGTTCTTAATATGCATGTAATATTTACCACTGGATATTAAGCAAACTACAATATAAAGATAACGAGATGTGGTATGATTGCCAATGAGACAACTATCCACCAAAGTTCAAATGAAGTGGATATAAGCAATTATAGGCGACTTTCAACAATGAGAAAGACCCATACAGTATAGTCGGCTATAAAAGGCCCTGACATATCTATTTATCATTATAGAATTAGTTATTGATATCTTGATAAGATTAAAAACTTTTCCCTAGTGATATGACATTTATATTTAGTTCAGAAATAATATGAAATATTGGCCATTTTTATGTTACATCATCAACATAATATTTGTATGCATTAGTAAACTTTAGAAAATAGATTGTCATAAAAATATCAGTTTTATAATTGTCAGGAACAACAACGAAATGGTTGGCATTCCCGTCTGTCCTTTGATATGGGTTTTTTTTGTTAAGCTCTTGAATGAATTAATACACCATATTTCTGCTTTAGGATATCTTCTATCCTTGCCTTTATAAAGTATGTTCATAATTGTATCATAAATGCTATTTTATTGTTGTATATATTGTAGAATTTATGAATTATTGACTAAAAAAATCTGATTTGTTTTTCAATAGAAAAAGATTTATTTGATTAAATGTCAGAAGTGGGAAAACATCCTTTGAAAAAACATTGTGTTTTATTTGCATTATTGTCATTGTAGTTATTGGTTAGAGAATGTTGTAATCTGAATATCCCTGATAAGGATGGGGACACGCCCCTTCATGAAGCTCTAAGACACCACACCCTGTCACAACTACGGCAACTTCAAGATATGCAGGATGTTGGCAAGGTAAACATACACTGATTAAATACTGAATTTTGAATTTATTTTACTATTGAGTAGATATATTGCATCAATACACAGTTTATGATCAAAACACAAGGTTATGATTAAAAAAAAAAATTTTTAAGGTCACACCAAATTCATTTCTTGTTCATCAGCCACCTAATGTCAAACAAGAAACAATTTAGTTTTTAATTTTTTTTCCAAAATTTTATTTTTCAGAGGCAGAACTATTTTCTTCTAGCGAGTGACAATATTTTGTAAATAATTTTAAAACAAAATGAATGGAATGAATTATATTCAAGCTAGCAGCGTTGTTTTTAAAACTCTTTTTTCTTTTTCTTAATTAATGGAAGGAGCAAGGATATTTTTTTAGTAGAAGATAATGAGTGCTTGTATACTTTGCACGGTAATGTGTGAAACTTCTTATAATTTTATCTTTTAGTTATTGATGGGATTAGGAACTCCAGGTGCTGACAAGAAATCTAGTGCTTCTATTGCCTGCTTCCTAGCTGCTAATGGTGCTGATTTAAATATAAAGAACAAAAAAGGTCAAACTCCTCTTGACCTTTGTCCTGACCCTAATCTTTGTAAGGCATTAGCCAAGTGTCACAAAGAGAGACATAGGTAGGTTCAGATATTTGTTACAATAATACAACCATAATAGAAAAAGTTAATAAAATTAGAAGATATTTTGGATTCATTATTATTCGTGGGATACCAATTTTTTTGTGGAACTTGTGGGTAAAGGTAAACCACAAATTTAAATGTTCACACAGTACAAATTTTCTATAGGCTTGTATACAGACTTGTGCAAAACCACCAAATCAAATGTCCTGAAAATACAAGTTTTCCTCAATCCCAGAAAATTGGTACCCACAAAAATAAATGCTTCCACAGTATTATAAAGCATATGAAAACATAAACAGGTCAGTCCAGTACAGTCCAGCCCAGCCCAGCCCAGCCTAATTACTGTGGATTGATAATTATTTGTTGGGATACTCATTTTTGTTTGTACATGTATAGAAGCTTCTTCATGATCAAGAAATAGAATCTGAAGAAAAAATCATATTTGTTATATTCTTCTGTATTTCACTCACTAATAAATGGGCTTAGTATTTTTTAGTTCACATTTAGATAGTCTAGAGTTAAAGTTTTTAAAAATCAGAAAAACCTTTTTGCAAACCATAATGGAAATTCAAGAAACTTTTACAAAAGCTCTTCATATTCATTTAAATTTTTTCATACTTTACTAAAAAATAGACTGTTACAGATTTTATAACTTAAATAACTATGTAAAACTTTCATAGAACTTTTAAAAAATTTTGAAAGAAGCACCGTGGGCAACTTTTTTTTTCTTATTCATCTTTACGTATTTTACTGATATGTAGTATGTGATATTGGCAGTCCATTTTACACTGACAGCAGCAGTAACAGGCGAGAGACAGGGTTAGGGTTCTTTGGAACCGCCTTGCAAATTTTTTTTTAAAAACAATTAGTTTTTATAGATGTAGCTTGTTAGTCTGTAGAACTTATAAAATTGTACATCCTTTCATGACTGCTGTTTCCTAATTTATTGAAAAAAATGTATAGGTTCAGAAAAATATGATATTATATGGGGTTTTATAGATATTAGGTAAAATCACACAAAATACCTCAAAGAAAACAGATCTGTTAGTTGCCTGAATACTGTAAATTCAGAAATTATTGCGATGTTTTTATTATTGCGAAAAATGCGACAGGGTTATAATCGCAATAATTTAAACTCGCATTTTGAAATATTTTATATGAATTAAACAGGATTTTTCTCAATATCGCAAAAATTAGAATCGCATTTTAGTCTAAAATGATAAAATCGCAATAATAAATGCACGCAATAATTTCTGAATTTACAGTATCTGTGTAAGGTGTCATGTATAAATGGAAGGAAAGATGTTTTTAAGACATTACACTAAAATGCCTCCTGAATAATTGTCACTTCTATTTTTAGTCCAACCAGTGGTCCACAGAATACTGTGATTATACGTAATGACCAAGAGTCATTACAAGAATGTATGGTGTGTTCAGATCTGAAGAGAGATACATTATTCGGACCATGTGGTCATGTGGCTACTTGTTCCCTGTGTTCACCTAGAGTCAAGAAATGTTTGATGTGTAAGGAACCAGTACAGTCTAGACATAAGGTAATTTTATTGCTTCAGCATTTGACTGTTTGATGTCCAGGTTTGGTTCATATCTAACTGTTGCTACCAGGGAACTCCTTTGTGTTTGTTTTTTCTACAAATAAAAATATACATGGCAGAAAGTTTCTTTGTAGCCAGAGAAAGACAGTATTAGTTTAAAGTGATTCATCTCCAAATTTGAAGTATTTTTTACTTTTCTTTACCGTGTGGAAGACATCCCAATTTTATGTGTGTGAGGCACTTTAAGCTTCGGTTCAGAACTAAGGCTAGTCATATGTTATATATAAAATCATTCTGTGACTTATTAAAATTGAATTTTTGAAACTTCAAGTATGTTATGTTTTACAGATAGAAGAATGTGTAGTGTGCTCAGACAAGAAGGCATCAGTATTGTTCATGCCGTGTGCACATATGTGTGCTTGTGACGGTAAGTGTGCAAGATAACATGATTATACAGGAAAGGAATGTAATTTGTAATGTCATGTTTTCTCAGTTGTTGGACAAAAGATGACCTTCACAATCAATCATTTTCACATACATTTCCAACATCACAATGCTTATGTTATTATGTCATAGTAAGAGTTGATTGTTCAATGGTGTCATTTATAAGTGGATTTCAGTCCATCCATCGGTATGACAACACTTCATACTTTACACAATTAAATGAAATTTTAACACAACATTAGGGTTGACAGATTTTTCAGTTTTGAAATATTTTTTGGTCTGTCATTTCAGAGTAATGGGACTAACTGTCAGATTAATGGCAGTTTTTCACATATCACACTTTTTAGATTTTAATTAATTTAGCACTTGTTGTACACTAGCCTGAGTATGCTTCACATAGATTTATTTGGAACTTTACACACTCGTTGAAATTGGTAAGGTAAAGTATTTTGGATTTCGAAAATTTTCTAATATTTTATTCTAAAGTTATTGGACTCGAAACGTCACATTTAAGGTGATTTTTCACATGTGACACATTAGCTCTAGGATGCTTGGATCAAATGGCTACAATTTTTAAACCATTTTTGAGAAAGGTGAATGTAGGATCACTTTCGATTTTCATAATTTTCTGGTCTGGTGTTCCAGAGTTGTGGGCCTTTCAGAGTCACATTTAAGGCAATATTTATATGCCTGAGAATATCCTCATGCAACTTAATCTACAGGGCCAATTTACTGACTTTTCATTAAAATCCTAAATATTCCAATTTTATCTTGCAACAATTTCAATATGCAAAAAAGGGTATATCATTTTCTCTTGGAGCAGCTGTTTATGGAATAATTATTAGTCCCCTACCGACGAAGTCTAAGGGGACTTTAGGTTTGCACTCTGTCCATCTGTTTGTTTGTCCGTCTGTCCATCCATCAGTCCGGCAAATCAGTTTTCCAGACTTTTTTTCTTCATGCTTGAAGATATTGATTTGATATTTGGTGTATTGTTTTATCATGACAAGTTTCAGGTCGAGTTCGATTTTCTTGATTTTTGCTTTTCTCCTTGTTCAGTTATAGCCCTTTCCCTAGAATTAAATTTTTGATGAAATCATTATTAATTACTAGATTTCAGTTCAAAGGGAAATAACTCATTTTTTTTAAAGATTTGTAAAAGACATTGTATTAAGATAAATGACATTTTGGATTTTTTTCCTTTTCTTTAGTAAATTGTTTGAAGAACTTAGTGGTAGGTTTGTTTGTTGTTTTATGTAGTTTACACCATGACAAGTTATAGATCAAGTTTGAATTTCGTTCCATTACAATGAATTTTTAACCGGTAGGGGACTATGTATTGCCATGCAATACTCACAGAATGCTTGTTACATTTCTTTTGCTAATGTATATGAAAATTCTTGTTAATATAATTGGCTATATTTTTCCCATTTTCTTTTTCCCAATTGTCAAAATAAAGATTGTATTCAATTTCCTAAATGAACAGGGATTGAAAAGTCAGTCAAAGTATAAGGGTAAAATACTTCCATTCAGTTCTGACAGTGATATCAAAGTGAGAAAAAAAAACCTTCAGTGAACTAGTAAGAAATAAAAGAATTATGTACCACAGCCACCAAATATAAAAAATGACTTAATTATCAAGTGATACACATTTTTATACGACCGCAAAAATTAAAAATTTTTTGGTCGTATATTGGTATGACGTTGGCGTCGTCGTCGTCGTCGTCGTCCGAAGACGCATTGGTTTTCGCACTCTAACTTTAGTTAAAGTGAATGGATCTCCAGAAATTTTACCATAAGGTTCAATACCACGAAAGGAAGGCTGGGATTGATTTTGGGGGTTATGGTACCAACAGTTAAGGAATTAGGGGCCAAAAAGGGGCCAGAAATAAGCATTTTTGTAACTTCCAGACAATAACTTGTGTGTAAGTGTATGGATCTCTCTGATATGTACCACAAGGTTCCATATCACAAAGGGAAGGCTGTAATTGATTTTGGGGGTAATTGCCTCAAAATTTTAGGAATTAGGGGCCAAAAAAGGGGCAAAAATCAAGCATTTTTCTAGTTTCATGACAATAACTTGTGTGTAAGTGTTTGGATATTTCTGAAATTGTACTACAAGGTTCCATATCACAAAGGGAAAGCTGGAATTGAGTTTGGGGGTAATTGCCCGAAACGTTTAGGAATTGGGGGCCAAAAAGGGGCCAAAAATAAGCATTTTTCTAGTTTCCAGACAATAACTTGTGTTCAAGTGTATGGATCTCTCTGAAATTGTACTGCAAGGTACCATACCACAAAGGGAAGGCTGGGATTGAGTTTGGGGGTGATGAATAATAAGGGGGTTCAAAAAATTTGGGGGGGGGGATTTTTTTTTTCTTTTTTTTTCTTTTTTTCCTTTTTTTTTTCTTTTAAAATTTTCCATTTTAAGTTGGTTATTTCTGATTAATATTTAAAAGCAAATAATAATGATATTAGCAAACAGGATGTGTAAATTATTATATAATAAGTATTGTGCAATAGCAAGAAATTTTCAATTGCATAGCAAGAAATCTTCAATTGCACAAGTATTGCGTAACAGCAAGAAATCTTCAATTGCACAGTATTGCGCAATAGCAAGAAATATCCAATAGCACAATATTGCGCAATAGCAAGAAATTGTCAATTGTACAGTATTGCGCCATAGCAAGAAATATTCAATTGCACAGTATTGTGCAAAAGAAGATACTTCGTATAAATTGCTTATTTCTTGATCAATTTCAATGGGGTTTTATTCTTGAATTCTTGGGGTTCTACAATATGCTGAATCTAACCGTGTATTAAGTTTTTGGATTTTGGGCCCCGTTTTTAAATTGGTCCACATTGAGGTCCAAAGGGTCCAAAATTTAACTTTGTTTGATTTCATCAAAAATTGAATTATTGGGGTTCTTTGATATGCCAAATCTAACCGTGTATTTAGATTCTTAATTTTTGGTTCCGTTTTCAAATTGGTCTACATTAAGGTCCAAAGTGTCCAAAATTAAACTTAGTTTGATTTTAACAAAAATTGAATTTTTAGGGTTCTTTGATATGCTGAATCTAAACATGTATTTAGATTTTTGATTATGGGCCCAGTTTTCAAGTTGGTCCAAATCGGGGTCCAAAATTAAACTTTGTTTGATTTCAACAAAAATTGAATATATGGGGTTCTTTGATATGCTGAATCTAACCATGTATTTAGATTTTTTATTTTTGGGCCCCGTTATCAACTTTGTCCACATTGAGGTCAAAAGGGTCCAAAATTAAACTTTGTTTGATTTTATCAAAAATTGAATTCTTGGGGTTCTTTGATATGCTGAATCTAACCATGTATTTAGATTTTGGATATTGGACCATAATAGGTGAATGTCCAATTTAAAATTTTTAAGTTCTTAGACCACATTCATTCTGTGTCAGAAACCTATGCTGTGTCAAATATTTAATCACAATCCAAATTCAGAGCTGTACTATCAAGCTTGAATGTTGTGTCCATACTTGCCCCAACTGTTCAGGGTTCGACCTCTGCGGTCGTATCAAGCTGCGCCCTGCGGAGCATTTTATTTATGATATAATACAAGTTTTTCAAATGGCCACATTTTTTATGATATAATACAAGTTTTCCAAATGGCCATACAAAAAACTTTCTGTTTACAGACTTAAATGAAAGCCTTCTATTAAATGTCTGCAATGATAATAAAAGATGTCAATTATTTTTTTGTGTAAAGGAGTTGTTGTCCAGTCAACATATATACCACAATAATATGTTTAGAATTTGAATTTGTTTGCAGGATGTGCTGCATTGATGAAGAAATGTGTGCAGTGCCGATCTTCTATAGATAAACTTGTACCATTTATTGTATGCTGTGGTGGAAATCGTAAGTGTAAAATCCTTAAAAGTGCCTAGAAATATCATCAATTTCCAATACTGTAATAAACACACAGAATTTTTATACAAATGTTTTTAAGTGATTTTTTATTTAGTGGAGAAACAGTTTTAAGGAAATGGATTATCTACCTTTAAAACTACATACCATGAATTATCTACCTTTAAAACTACATAAGGATTAATAACACCATTGATTTTCCCCTATTAGTCTTTGTTAAATTGGCACTTTTCAAAAAATTGTGCAGCATTTATCTTTTTTCAAATAAAGAAATAATTGGCCTGAGTAACGTTTTATCCTGTCCAGTACTACAGTGAAAATTTCACATAACATTTCATTGCATATAATATAATAACCATCACTGGAAGTAAACCAATCAACATGTCACCTGAAGTTTTCAAAATATTTTAAAGAAACAACAAATAAAAAAAGAATGGTGTTTTTAAACACCCCAAGATATATGTTTATGACTCAGAAATTTTTTTCTGCAATGAAATGCAGGGTTAATTTCCTACAACTGTCAAAATCAAGGGAATATTTTTTTCTACCCTTTTTCGTATGAAACCAGATGTGACATATTTATTATGATGTTGTGGTATTACACCATAACATGAATTATCTAACTTTAAAACTACATACCATGAATTATCTACCTTTAAAACTTATCTACCTTTTAAAACTACATACCATGAATTATCTACCTTCAAAAACTACATACCATGAATTATCTACCTTTAAAACTACATACCATGAATTATCTACCTTTAAAAACTACATACCATGAATTATCTACCTTCAAAAACTACATACCATGAATTATCAACCTTTAAAACTACATACCATGAATTATCTACCTCTAAAACTACATACCATGAATTATCTACCTCTAAAACTACATTCAATTAGATTATTGATGGTTTTTTCGAACGAGAGGGTGTTTCTCAGCTACATTCTCAATGAATGAGATGTGGCCGAGAAACATCCAGGAGTTTGAAAGACCATTGATAATCTGTTTATCGCTATTTTGCCTATGACGTCATTAATGTCTACATTGACATAGGCACTTGCATCCTTAGTTTCTGACGATAATTTTCTATCTCAAGCGAGTAGCATGATATGAAAAATTATCACAAGAAAAGAAAAATACACAAAATAGCGATAACATGAACTACCTTTAAAACTACAAACCATGAATTATCTGGTCCTCTGACACTTATGCATTGGATAAAATTTAAATATTGGTCATAATTGTTAAGAATAAAATATCAATTAGGCAAGATATTCCTTAGATTCATAAAATCCATTTTGTAACAAAAGTCCATAATTCTATTTTTTGCATTTTGGGGAGTTTAAAAACATTGTGCATACAAGCCTTTAGACAATTTGTATTTTGTGGAACAATACATTCATGGTTAACCATTAACAACAAGTTCCACAAAAATTAAAACCCCACCAATAATTAGGAGTCCATATTATATAATCCTTGTTGAAAACTTTCCATGAAAGAGAAGTTCAATTTTAAAACATGGTTCCTAAAAAATTCAGTGAATCTTGGATTCTTAATTTCATTGTTTCGTGTTTGATGCAAAACCTACCATTATAAAGATTTTATTTGCTTAGATATTGACTTGCATAGTTATGTGACCCAGGCAAATCATGAAAAAAATCAACTGTCCAGATATAGAGAGCCTGCAAATATTTTTTTAAGTTAAGTTTCCTGACAGGGAGGTAAAATCTTCCTCATTTGAGAAAAAAATTCCCTCTTGTACCATTTTTTCATAATAAAAGGTACTGGTAGTTTGTCCTGTTAAAATTGACAATCTTGCCTTCACAATATAAAGTGCAAAAGCTTCCTTATATATATAATCATTGGATTCATGTGAATGTGGTTGTACTTTTTAATGCTTTTATCTTTGTATTTATGAATTTTAAATAATGACATTTGCATGATTACAGCACCTCCAGCCCCTCAGCCACCAGGTATTATGAACAATGGTTCGAGAGATACCACCAAAGATGTACAGAAATTACAACAGCAATTACAAGATATCAAGGATCAGGTTAGATTTAAACAAAGATCTCATGAAAATAATGTGTGATAAAATACATATCATTAGCACAAATATAAGGACACATGGTTAAAATAAAAATAAGAAGATGTATAATTGCCAATGAGACAACTCATCACCAGAGACCAAATGACATAGAAGTTAACAACTATAGGTCACTGTACGGCCTTCAGCAATGAGCAAAACCCATACTGCATAGTCCACTATAAAAGGCCCGAAATGATAATGTAAAACAATTCGAACAAGAAAACTAGCAGCCTGATTAAAGTAAAAAACAATGAACGAAATACGAATATGATATACAGCAACAAACAACAACCACTGAATTCAGGTTGTTTTTATACGACCGCAAAAAATTTTTGCGGTCGTATATTGGTATCACGTCGTCGTCCGAAGACAGTTGGTTTCCGGACAATAACTTTAGTATGAGTAAATAGAAATCTATGAAATTTATTCGCAAGGTTTATAACCACAAAAGGAAGGTTGGGATTGATTTTGGGGGTTATGGTCCGAACAGTTTAGGAATTAGGGGCCAAAAAAGGGGCCCAAATAAGCATTTTTGTAGTTTCCAGACAATAACTTGCGTTTAAGTGTATGAATCTCTCTGACATTATACCACATGTTTCCATACCACAAAGGGGTGGTTAGGATTGACTTTGGGAGGTTATGGCTCAAACCATTTGGGAATTAGGGGCAAAAAAGGGGGAAAAAACAAGGGTTTCCTGGTTAATGGACAATTAAGACAATTTAAAAGCAGTGTAAGGGAGGTAATCCAAACACATTTAGAGTAAAATGTTGTGTATGAGGTGAAAAAAAAATTAGGGGGGGGGGGGGGGGGGGAGTTTAATTCGCAACAGTATAGTGTATTGCACAAAAGAAAAAAATTGAATATAAATTCAAATCATATGACCAATTCTAAGTTCTTTGACTACAGTTATTCTGTGTCAGAAACCTATTATGTGTCAAATATTTAATTACAATCCAAATTCAGACCTGTATCAAGTGCGAATATTGTGTCCATTTTTGCCCCAACTGTTCAGGGTTGGATCTCTGCAGTCGTATCCATCTAAGCTCAGCGAAATAATTTATTGTAAATAAAAGCTAGGTGCTTTCTAAATTCCATTATTATACCACTCATAGAATTACACATAACAATTGGAGAAGGTATTATTTTAATCACCATGTCTATCAAACCTTTAACTACTCACAGATGGGTGGATGGATTTTAAAAAAAATTTCCACATAGCCAGTATGTTTATTTTACATTTATTTCATGTTTTTTTTAAACAAATTAAAACAAAAAAATATAGAAATTATCATTCCATCACTAAATATATAGGGCAAAGCACCATAACATAAAACTCAAAACAATAAAAGTTAGAAGACAGAAAATGCCAGCCCAATATTTTGACCTATGGGGTAAAGGTTGTCAATGCTTGTTGAAAAAAAGAATTAAAATGTCTTGTTCACATACACCTTATTGCTATCGCTGGATATCACAAATGTTACCGTAAAATGTTCACTTCACAAGAGCAAATATCTTAAATGCCACAAAAGAAAAGTTATTGTTGTATGACTTCAATACTTCAAGTGTCACAAATTCTCATGTCATGTGTTGAAGATTCCCAAATAACAATACGGTCAATTGTATGTTTGAAGTGATGGATGACTAACAGTTTTATACGACTGTAAAATTTTTGCTTTTGTATAATGTTATGACGTTGTCAGCGTCGTCGTTGTAAGAAGACATTTGGTTTTCAGACAATAACTTGAGTATAAGTGTATGGATCTCTATGAAATTGAACAAGGTTCCATTCCACAAACGGAAGGTTAGGATTGATTTTGGAGGTTATTGTCCTAGCTGTTTAGGAATTAGGGGCTAGAAAGAGGCCATAAACAAGCATTTTTCTTGTTTCAGGACAATAACTTGTGTACAAGTGTATGGATCTTTATTAAATTTTACCACAAGGTTCCATACCTCAAAAGGAAGGTTGGGATTGCTATTTGGGGTCATGGCCCAAACCATTTAGGAATAAGGGGCAAAAAAACAAAGATTTTCTGGTCTCTGGACAATAACTTAGTATAAGTCTATGGATCTCCATGAAATTGTACCACAAGGTTCCATACCGAAAAAAGGAAGGTTGATATTGATTTTGGGGGTAATAGCCTTTAATGTTTAGGAAAAAGGGGCTAAAAAAAATACTTTTCTAATACTTGGTATAAATTGCTTATTTCTTAACCAATTTCAATGGGGTTTTTTGATATGCTGAATCTAAACATGTATTTAGATTTTTCGATTCAGGGCCTGGTTTTCAAATTGGTCCACATTAAGGTCCAAAATGTCCAAAATAAAACTTAGTTTAATTTTAACAAAAATTGAATTCTTGAGTTTCTTTGATATGCTGAATCTAAACATGTATTTACATTTTTGTTTTGGGCACAGTTTTCAAGTTGGTCCAAATTGGGGTCCAAAATTAAACTTTTTATGCCCCCGCCGTAGCGGAGGGGGCATTAAGTTTTACCCTTGTCCGTACGTCCCAAAATTGGTTTCCGTTCTCTAACTTAAGTTTGCCTCAACCAAATGTTATGGAACTTATACACAATGCTTATTACCACAAAACACAGATCAAGTTTGAATTTTGGTGGCATCACTTTAACCGTTCTAGAGTAATGCCCCTTTATAAATGGAAAAATTGCAAAATTTTTAGTTCATTCTCTAACTTAAGTTTGCCTCAACCAAATGTTATGAAACTTATACACAATGCTTATTTTCACAAAACACAGATCAAGTTTGAATTTGGTGGAGTCACTTTAACCGTTCAAAAGTTATGCCCCTTTATAAATGGAAAAATTGCAAAATTTTTATTTTCTTCTAAATATCAAGTTATTTTTAAAATTGGAGTTATCTTCCTTTGTCCATGATTATAGTTGAATCAACTACATTCAATGCTTTATACAATGCAATGTTTAATTTTGCCTTCCACTGATAAAACACAGAATTTGGGTAGTGTCACTTTAACCATTATTGAGTTATGCCCCTTTATAAATCGAAAGATTGCAAAATTTTTAGTTTCCATTCTGTAACTTAAGTTGGCCCAAACCAAACATTATGAAACCTATACACAATATTCATTACCTCAAAACTAAGATAATGTACAATTTTTGCGTTTCCGTTCTCTAACTTTAGTTTGCCACAACCAAATGTTATGAAACTTATACACAATGCTTATTACTACATAATACAGATTAAGTACGAAATTTGGTGGCGTCACTTTTACCATTCTTGAGTTATGTCCCTTTATAAACATAAAAATTGCTGAATTTTTCGTTTCCGTTCTCTAACTTTAGTTTGTCTCAACCAAATGTTATAAAAACCACTAAACACGGATCAAGTTTGAATTTTGGTAGCGTCACTCTAACTGTTCTAGAGTTATGCCTGTTTACAAATAGAAAAATTGCTGAATTTTTAGTTTCTGTTCTCTACTTAAGTTAGCCTCATTCAAATGTTATGAGACTTACACACAATGCTTATTACCACAAAACTCAGATCAAGTTCAAATTTGGGTAGCGTCACTTTTACCGTTCTTCAGTTATGTCCCTTTATAACTATATGATATGCAAGTGGGGGCATCATCTGTGTCCACATGTGGACACTATCCACATTTTTTTTTTTTGTTTGATTTCAACAAAATTGAATATATGGGGTCCTTTGATATGCCAAATCTAACCATGTATTCAGATTTTGGATTTTGGACCCCATTATCAAATTGGTCCACATTGAGGTCCAAAGGGTCCAAAATTAAACTTTTGTTTGATGTCATCAAAACTTGAATTTTTGGGTTTCTTTGATATGCTGATTCTAACCATGTATTTAGATTTTGAATATTGGATCATAAAAGGTATATGTCCAATTAAATTTTTCAGTTCTTAAACCACATTTATTCTGTGTCAGAAACTTATGCTATGTCAAATATTTAATCACAATCCAAATTCGAAGATGTATTGCACAATTAATAGAAATTGAAAGATGATTCATAGTTAAAAAAATAGATACAATATCATAACCTAAATTTAGAAATTATGTATAAATATGGTTTGAAATTTACTGTTCATTATTAGATATTTTCAAAAAATAAAGGTAAGTTTTATAGATTTTATAATAGTGCAGCAGCGACATCTAAAAAGACGCTTAGTAAAGGAGTTTAATGCACCCAAAGAACACACACCTGGAAATGTTTTTAAATGAAAGAATAAATGTTAAACTTATTTTTAGCTCACCTGGGCCAAATTGCCAAGCAAGCTTTTCTCATCACTTGGCATCCGTCGTCATCAGTTAACTTTTACAAAAATCTTCTCCTCTGAAACTACTGGACCAAATTTAACCAAACTTGGCCACAATCATCATTAGGGTATCTAGTTTGAAAATTGTGTCCGATGACCATTGCCTGCCAACCAAGATGGCAGACATGGCTAAAAATAGAACATAGGGGTAAAATGCAAGTTTTGTCTATTATTTTGAAAACTGTTATAAATAGAGAGAATCTGAGAGAAGCAAAAATGTTCAGAATATTGAGCTCTACCAGTTGATCCTGTAACGTCAAAACTGTCAGCCTACTTTTTATAGGAGTTATTGCCCTTAAATGACAAATTTTAAATTTTTTATCATTTTTATACGACCGCAAAAAAAATTTTGTGGTCGTATATTGGTATGACGTTGGCGTCGTCGTCATCGTCCGAAGACACATTAGTTTTCGCACTCTAACTTTAGTTCAAGTGAATGGATCTCAATGAAATTTTACCATAAGGTTCAATACCACAAAAGGAAGGTGGGGATTGATTTTGGGGGTTATGGTACCAACAGTTAAGGAATTAGGGGCCAAAAAGGGGCCTAAAATAAGCATTTTTGTAACTTCCAGCCATAACTTGTGTGTAAGTGTATGGATCTCTCTGAAATTGTACTGCAAGGTACCATACCACAAAGGGAAGGCTGG